GTCAGCCACCCGGAGGAGCCTGTGCAGCTCCTGCTGCTGCATGTTCCTCATGTGCTGCTCTACCTCCTCAGGACTCATGGTGCCAGCAGGAAGAGGGCTACACACATACTGTCCTGAAGGAGTCGGGTAGCCCGGGTAATAAGGCCCTGGGTACACACCATTTGTAGGGCCCACTGGGTACTGTAGAGGGTTATAGCCCGCATAGGGATACTGGGAGGCAGGGCCTGGTGTCCGCGGGTAATAATAGGGGTTGTCAGAGTTTTGAAATTTATAGTAAGATGCTTGAGCCTGGCGTGAGTCACCCCAAGATGTAGGGCTGACTTCATCATCAGTGTCCAAGAAATGCAGCTGGGGTGTCTGAGTCTTTAGAGCAGGTTTCTGATCAGGATTATTTGGGTCCCATAATCGGCGTGTGGTGCCTCCACGGCCCCAACTCCGAGGACCCTTACTACCAGATCCGAACAAAAGCCGAGGTCCCAAAGGTGTGGCCTCTGGAGAACCTGCTGAATTGACAGACAGGGTGGTATGGGCAGGCAGAATCAGAATGCCACGACCGCGACCCCGAAGTTCCTGTTTCAGGTTTTTGGACTCCTGCTTCTCAGAGCCTTTGCCCCCATTGCTCAAGCCTTTGTCAGGGTTTCCTCTATCCGTATCATCCCTGGCTGGCCTCGCCACGGGAGACTCTTTGTTCATGGTTTCTGCATCAAAAGTGACACGAAGAGTGCCTCGATTTTCTTTACCATTGCTTTTCTGCTCACCTTCCCCGCGGCCAGACCAGTTTCTTTCTAAAGGTTTCTTCCTTTCTGAACTTCTCCTGGGTCCTAATCCATCAGGCTCATCAATTCTGTCCTCATCTAAGGAATCGGTTGAGGACACAGATACTTGCTTCTTCAGTCGTGGCCTCTCCTTGGTCCTATCCTGCCGGCGGCGGCGACATCCGCTATCAGTGAGGCCAGCTCCCTCAGCGCTGTTGTTGCTACCAGCTGAGCTGGTACTGCAAGTGCGGTAACGATTCCTTCGTTTGTCTGAGCGGGAGTAGCGCTTTGCAGAACCTGGCTTCCCCTGGGCCAGGTCATCGCTCGTTTTCTTCATCCCCTCGCCTTTCTCAATCCTCTTTCCCTTTTCTCCCTTTGCAGCCCTTAGTCTGTCACCACCTGGGCTCTTTTCTGTTTCGGCCCTGTCTGGTTTATTCACACCTTCCTCTTTCACAACGTTTCCCCTACACTCATCTTCCTCCACTCTCAGTTGTTCTACCAGGTTGAGGATTTCTTCCTCCTCCACCCGACTGGCTGATTCTTTGCTAACAGTCTGCAAACGCCGTCCAGGCTGATAGATCTGCAGGTCCGGTTTCTTTGTTCTTTTGATAATTTTTAGACTACGATCCTCTTGTCCAGCAGTCCTAGGAAAGGATTCCTGTCCCCGATTATTTTCTGGGTCTATAGGACCATTCTGTGGTTGGTTGTTGGGTTCCTTGCAGACATCTTTAATGGGTTGTGTACCATTTCTAACAGCAGAGGAATCTCGGTCATTAACAATTTCATCCTTGAATTCTTCACTCCTAGAGGCTTCCTTGATTTTGGTCTTATTCCTTAGCCGAGAAAGACCAGGTTTATAGATTTCCAGATCTGGACGCCTATTATCTTTGCGCTGCCTGGGCTCCTTTAATTCCTTCATGTTTTCTGTTATGTTGGGGAAGGAGTTGGGGAGGGAAAGGTAGAAGATAAGAATAAAGAAGGAAGGTGAGGGAAAGACTGTCATTCTGGTTAAGTAACAAAAAAAGTCAAGAATTACACATCCACATGCTAATATTGGTAGGCAAGGAAGGACACTTCTGCAGAAGCATAAATTCTGGGTTTACAATAGTTGTTCAACAATTGCCAAGGCTAAGAACCTAATTGTGTTGGGGCTACCTACACTTAGGTGAAGAAAAGCGGGGGGAACCCATCTCCTTATGTGTTACCCAAGTCATACTCAGAAATCCAAGACCCCAGGCCGGGCGCGGTGGCTCAAGCCTGTAATCCCAGCACTTTGGGAGGCCAAGGTGGGTGGATCACGAGGTCAAGAGATCGAGACTATCCTGGTCAACACGGTGAAACCCCGTCTCTACTAAAAATACAAAAAATCAGCTGGGCATGGTGGCGCATGCCTGTAATCCCAGCTACTCAGGAGGCTGAGGCAGGAGAATTGCCTGAACCCAGGAGGTGGAGGTTGCAGTGAGCCGAGATCGCGCCATTGCACTCCACCCTGGGTAACAAGAGCGAAACTCCGTCTCAAAAAAAAAAAAAAAGAAAAAGAAATCCAAGACCCCAAACTACCTACCTCATCATTGTCGGAACTAAAGATCTCTAACCTTTTCAGCATTAGACTCTTCTCTGTCTAGAGCGCCTGTGAATACACCTCAGCCTTTTTTTTCTGCCTTTAACTTTTTCCTTGGTGGCTAAGTTCTTTTAACATAACAGTAGGGGGGAAAAATAAGGAGAAAAAGGGGGGGCATTATAACAATCATTAGTCCCGGACATCTCTCGAGAACAAAATTGCAACTCTATTCTTCAAACTTCACCAGGACAATTCTCTTCTTCAGGATACCAATTACCAAATAACACACCTGCAGGTAAAGCAAACAGTCAGCAGTTCCTTTCACACTCTTCAACTTCACTCATACCAACAGCAGCTCGCAGAGTCACCCCAAGGAAATATTGCTCAGACTATCATATTAGAATACCGAGACTAACTGCTACTGTGATGATGGAATTATGAGAAGAAAAAAATTCCATAAGGGAACTTTCCCTCGATGGATGAAAAGATTGTGACATATCCTCAAAATCCCAAGAACTGGGCACTCAAGAATAATAATAATACAGGACTTTAGAAACCACTCTCTGAGCTCCATAAACGTACTAAACAACAAACAGATAAGCAAGTATTTGGTTTTTAAAAAGTATCTGTTACTACTATCAAAAGTAACCACTAAAGATTTCAGTGAAAAACTGACAGAATTTGTGAGAATATTATCAAGTACACGAATAGAATGCTATATAAATTACTAGTATAAGGCTGGACGTGGTGGTTCACGCCTGTAATCCCAGCACTTAGGGAGGCCACGGTGAGCATATGAGGTCAGGAGTTCGAGACCAGCCTGGTCAACATAGTAAAACCCAATCTCTACTAAAAATACAAAAATTAGCCTGGCATGGTGGCATGCACCTGTAGTTCCAGCTACACGGGAGGCTGGGGCAGGAGAATTGCTTGGAACTGGGAGACGGAGGTTGCAGTGAGACGAGATCGAGCACTTCAGCCTGGGCAACAGAGCCAGACTCTGTCGAGTCTGTCTCAAAATAAATAAAATAAAATAAAATCCTAATATAAACCAGGTTTAGCGGCTCACACCCATAACCCCAGCCCTTTAGGCTGAGGCGGGAGGATTGCCTGAGGCCAGGATTTCTACATCAACCTGGGCAACATGGCGAAACCCGGTCTCTGTGAAATATACAAAAAATAGCCAGGTGTAGTGGCGCAAGCCTGTAATTCCAACTACTCAGAAGGCTGAGATGGGAGGAGCGCTTGAGCCCGGGAGGTGGAGGCTACTAGTAAGCTGAGATCCCTCCACTGCACTCCAGCCTGAAAGAGAAAGTGAGATCCTGTCTCAAAAAAATAGTAACAGGCCGGGAGCGGTGGCTCACGCCTGTAATCCCAGCACTTTGGGAGGCCGAAGCGGGTGGATCACGAGGTCAAGAGATCGAGACCATTCTGGTCAACATGGTGAAACCCCGTCTCTACTAAAAATACAAAAATTAGCTGGGCATGGTGGCGCACGCCTGTAGTCCTAGCTACTCGGGAGTCTGAGGCAGGAGAATTGCTTGAACCCAGGAGGTGGAGGTTGCGGTGAGCCGAGATTGCGCCATTGCACTCCAGCCTGGGTAACAAGAGCGAAACTCCGTCTCAAAAAATAATAATAATAATAACAATAAAAAGTTTTTAATCCTAGTAGTGTTCTTTAAGTATGAATGCAAACGAGCCCATACAGTAACAAAACGGAGAAATAAGAGACTGAGGTTTAAGACAGTGTTTCACTATTTTCAGAAGTTTAAAAGACAGCTTCATCAAGTATGAACAAAGATAAACCAGTTTAACCCAAGAATAGCTCACCTTCGGCAGTCTTTAACTTGGAGGGTGACAGGTGAGATGGAGAGAGCTATTACTAGTACCTTCTAGGGCAGCGGGAGAAAACAGCCTTAACAATCCAATTTTGTTAACCAACGAAAACCAATTCCACAGACTGGCAGCAAACCTAGAGAAGGCTCCAATCACAGCTACCATTCTACACAACTCTACTGCCTAACGCAGGGGTGGTGAGACACTAGAATCTTTACTTTCCTGATGTGGCTGGAGACTTGAAATTAGCTTGCAAATTGACCATTCTCTAATAAAAACTGCTCGCACACATGCCAGGGCCAAACCCGAGGAGTCTAGAGGTCCCAGATCCCTCCAGTGGCGCAGCTTTCGGAAGCCTGTCTTGGGGGGGAAAAGTTCAGCAAGGAAGCCGCAAGCTGCTAAACGTTTCTCCCCAATTCCTCCCCTCCGACGCTAAGGCAGTGGCCCGGGCCCGCCCGAGGAAGGCGGCCTGGAGGACCCAACGCCCGGGGCCTCCACCCGACCCCGCTTCTTTCCGCGTCTCCCGACGCCTGAGAACCGGCGGGCGGGTCTGAGAGCGCTGGGGCAAAGCGAAAACAGTCACCTTCGCGACGAGAAAGAGGGTGGAGGCAGGAATTCGGGCCAGGCTCTCCCGGAGTGCGCCAGGATTGGCGGAGCTCGACCCAGCACTGACCCGCGGGCGAGACAGGGGAGCGACGGTTCGCCGCGGCCCCGGCGCCCAGGGATGGGGGAAGGGGCGGGGGCTCCAGAGCCGCGGGCCGAGTGGGGAGGAGGCTAGAGGAGGAGGAGAGGGAGGCGGGGCGGGCAGGCCCGGCCCAGGAGCTGGGCGGCGCGACTCACCTCTGCTCCCGGCCTGCGGGGCCAGAGTAGCCAGGATCCCGCGCAGCTCCGACGCGGAAATCCGCACACGCTCAAGCCCTTCCGCCATCTTCGCGGCTGCTGCTACAGCTGCAGCTACTCCGCCACGGCCGCGCGCAGCCAGGAAACCACCACAGCCGGGCGACGCGCGCGGTCGCCCACCTCCCAGCGTGTCCCCGCCCCGTCCCGCCCTCCCTTTCCAAACGACGGTGGCCGCGCTGGGCGGAAAAGCATCCGACGCCAGTTCCAGAGGGGCGGGGCCGGAGCGCGAGCCTGGGCGGGGCAGGCTTGCGCTGCGCTTGCGCAGAGGTGCGGCCGGGGAGGCGCTCGGAGGCTGGAGCTGGAGGCGCGGCGCCGGTGAGCGGAGGTGAGACGAGGCGTGGTCGTGCCAGGCCAGGCGGGCGTTCGCGGCGGTAGCTGCCATTGCTGTTGTCTTGGCCACCGAGGACACTGGTGCTAGTCGGGGACCCGGGTTGACGGAGACACCCCACAGCTTGGGCTCCTCTGATCGCCTTAGGCCAGGCTCTCCCGCTACAGGCTCGGGACTAGCGCCGCGGGCCATTACTTGGGACCTTGAAGATATGCTAAGAGTAGTTATTACTATTCCCATTTATTTTTATTATTTTGTTTTTGAGGCGGAGTCTGGCTCTGTCGCGTAGGCTGGAGTACGGTGGCGCGATCTCGTCTCACTGCAGTCTCCGCCTCCCAGGTTCAGGCGATTAACCCGCCTCAGCCTCTCTACTATCCCCATTTTTAAGATTAGGACACTGAATCCCAGAGAACGGAAGTAAATTGCCCTAGAGTGACACCGTGGATAAGAACCTACCAGAGCCTTTTTCAGTACAGCAAGCCACCTCCCCAAACCCCCGGGCTCTTTTTTTTTTTTTTTTTTTTTGAGACAGAGCCTCACTCGCCTGGGCTGCAGTGCAGTGGTGTGATCTTCGGGTCACTGCAGCCTCGGCCTCCCGGTTTCAAGCGATTCTCCTGCCTCAGCCTCCCAAGTAGCTGGGACTACAGGTGCGCGCCACCACGCCCAGCTAACTTTTGTATTTTTAGTAGAGACGGTATTTCACCATGTTGACCAGGATAGTCTCTATCTCTTGACCTCGTGATCCTCCTGCCTTGGCCTCCCAAAGTGCTGGGATTACAGGCATGAGCCACCCCACCCAACCCCGCTCCCTGGCTGTTAAAAAATAGATACGCTATAGTTGGTATCGTGTGGAAGGAAGTATATCAGGAGGTATAGAATTCAATTTGGGACCTGTAATCCCGGCGACTCAGGAGGCTGAGAAGGGCGGATCACTTGAACCCGGGAAGTGGACGGAGGCTGCAGTAAGCCGAGATCATGCCACTACACTCCAGCCTGGGCAACAGACCGAGACTCCGCAAAAGAAAAAAAAAAAAAAAAAGTCGATTTGGGAGTTTCTGTGTCACTATAGATTCTTGAAAAAAGTTACTTCTCTTTATCTCAGGTTGACTTCTTAATTTCCCATCTTTAAAATTTAACTAGACCTGAAGATTGGTACTTGAACCTGTGTTGGGAGAGCTGTGCAGAGGTGAAACTCCCTTCGCCAAGGCTGCCTGCCTCTACCTGTTGCTCCTCCATAGCCCCACAGGCCTTTAGACGCACCCATCACAGGATAGTTACCAATTACTCCTTAGTCTAAGGCTAGCTGAAAGGATTGCAGCAACCTCTGAAAGAACTCGTTCAGTTCCTTTTTCGTGACACCAGGTTAAGCATAAGGAGAAAGTCATTATGTGGGTGAAAAGATTCAACAGTTCAGAAGAGGAACGATTTGAGTGGTCAAAGCAAACGAAAACCTTTGCCATCAGATTTGGGGAAAATAGGAAAAAGTGTTAAAAAATAATCTGTTTCACATTGAAATTTAAGAGGTCATTGCATGATTTTTTTTAAGATGGAAAAATAATGGAAAACAAGAAAACTGTTTTAGGACAAATGGCACTGCCAATTTAATGCAGCAGTGTCAGTGAACTGCAGATTAGATATGCCAAAAGTTAAATCCGTTCAAGAAAATTTACCAGGACTCAGAGGGAAAAGTAATAGATAAAAACTGAGACACAAAGATGGGAGACATGGAAAATAGGTTCACAAAATTAATAATTAGGGGCCGAGCGCAGTGGCTCACGCCTGTATTCCCAGCACTTTGGGAGGCCAAGGCGGGCAGATCACGAGGTCAGGACATCGAGACCATCCTGGCTAACACCGTGAAACCCCACCCTTACTAAAAAAAAAAAATTAAAAATTAACCAGGCGTGATGTCACGCGCCTGTGGTCCCAGCTACTTGGGAGGCCTAGGCAGGAGAACTGCTTGGACCCAGGAGGTAGAGGTCGTGGTGAGCTGAGATTGTACCACTGCACTCTAGCCTGGGTGACAGAGTGAGACTTAATCTCAAAAAAAAAAATTAATAATTATGAGTTCCAGAATATCATATTTGGAACCATTCCTGGAATATCAGTTCCAGCTGACTGCAGAGAAGCAATAATCAAATAGTAGAAGAAAATCTACTAAGTTGGTGGAAATTTTTGAATTCTCAGATTTAAAGGATTCATTAAATACTAGGTAAAAAGAAATGAAAAGAAAGACAACCATATTTAGGCCTGAATCACAAATGAAAGCTGCTGAGTTGTTTGGTTTTGGGTTTTTTTTTTTTTAGATGAGTTTCCCTCTTATTGCCTAGGCTGGAGTGCAGTGGCAGGATCCTGGCTCACTGCAACCTCCGCCTCCCAGGTTCAAGCAATTCTCTGCCTCAGCCTCCCAAGTAGCTGGGATTACAGGCACTCACCACCATGCCTAGCTAATTTTTTGTATTTTTAGCGAGACAGAGTTTCACCGTATTGACCAGACTGGTCTCGAACTCCTGATCTCAAGTGATCCACCCACCTCGACCTCCTAAAGTGCTAGGATTACTGGCAAGAGCCACCGTGCTGAGCCCTGAATTCAATTTCTAAAAGAAATAATTGTATAGGTCACATTTACTGAGCACAAATTAACAAAACTAGAAATGAATAGCCACAAATTAAGCAAAAAATTCTAACAATTAGGCCGGGCGCAGTGGCTCAAGCCTGTAATCCCAGCACTTTGGGAGGCCAAGGCAGGTGGATCACGAGGTCAAGAGATCAAGATCATCTTGGTCAACATGGTGAAACTCCGTCTCTACTAAAAATACAAAAAAATTAGCCGGGCATGGTGGCACGTGCCTGTAATCCCAGCTACTCAGGAGGCTGAGGCTGGAGAATTGCCTGAACCCAGGCGGCGGAGGTTGCGGTGAGCCGAGATCGCGCCATTGCACTCCAGCCTGGGTAACAGAAGCGAAACTCCGTCTCAAAAAAAAAAAAAAAATCTAACAATTGGGATTTTTTTTAAAACACCAGTTTTTCCCATGTGCATGTTCAAAGAGTAAGCAGAAAAGAAAAAAAAAAGCACCAATTTTAGGCCAGGCCCAATGGCTCACTCCTGTAATCCCAGCACTTTGGGAGACTGAGGCAGGTGGATCACTTGAGGTCAGGAATTCAAGACCAGCCTGGCCAACATGGGGAAAACCCGTCTCTACTAAAGATACACAAACTAAAGCCAGGCGAGGTGGCTCACACCTGTAATCCCAGTACTTTGGGAGGCTGAGACGGGCAAATCATGAGATCAGGAGATAGAGACCATCCTGGCTAACACGATGAAACCCCATCTCTACTAAATACAAAAAATTAGCCGGGCAAGGTGGCATGCACCCTTAGTCCCAGCTACTCAGGAGGCTGAGGCAGGAGAATCGCTTAAACCCGGGAGGCAGAGGTTGCAGTGAGCCGAGATCGCGCCGCTGTACTCCAGCCTGGACAACAGAGTGAAGACTCCATCTCAAAAAATAATAATAATAATACAAAAACTAGCTGGGCATGGTAGCAAGTGCCTGTAATCCCAGCTATTGCAGAGGCTGAGGCAGAAGAATTGCTTGAACCCAGGAGGTGGAGGCTGCAGTGAGCCAAGATTGTGCCACACTGCACTCCAGCCTAGGTAACAGATAGAGACTCTATCTCAAAAACAAAACAAAAACACCAATTTTAAATAATTAATGGGTCAAAAAAGAAAAAAAGACTAATATCTTGGATTATTTAGAAATTAAGATAATGAACACATTGTGTAATGGAATCCATGCGTTTAAAGCAGTACTCAGAGGAAAAGTATATAAGTAGCTAAATATGCTTTTATTATTTTTTAAAGTAAAAATTAGTAAACTAAGCATTCAACAAAGATAGAAGACAAAGGAAAATGGCAGAATAAACAAAATCAGAAATAATTAAGGGAAAAAGAACTGTAACTTTAAATTGAAGAGTTCATTCAGAAATAAAACAGACACTAATATATACACATTTCTGGCAAAAAAAAAATTTTTAAAGGGACATCCTCTTGGATGTCTCATAAACAATTCAGACTTAACTAATCAAATCTGATTTCCCGTCAAATAGTTATTTCTTCACCTGTTTTAAATCTCAACAAATCGTACCACCATTTAAGTCAAAACCCAGGAGTTACTCTTTTTAAAAAAATTTTTTGGCCGGGTGCGGTGGCTCAAGCCTGTAATCCTAGCACTTTGGGAGGCCGAGGTGGGTGGATCACGAGATCGAGAGATCGAGACCATCCTGGTCAACATGGTGAAACCCCGTCTCTACTAAAAACACAAAAAACTAGCTGGGCTTGGTGGCGCGTGCCTGTAATCCCAGCTACTCAGGAGGCTGAGGCAGGAGAATTGCCTGAGCCCAGGAGGCGGAGGTTGCGGTGAGCCAAGATCGCACCATTGCACTCCAGCCTGGGTAACAAGAGCGAAACTCTGTCTCAAAAAAAAAAAAAAAATTTTTTTGGCCAGGCATGGTGGCTCACACTTGTAATCCCAGCACTTTGGGAGGCTGCGGCAGGTGGATCACCTGAGGTCAGGAGTTCGAGACCAGCCTGACCAACATGGTGAAATCCCATCTCTACTAAATATAAAAAATTAGCCAGGCATGGTGGCCCACACTTGTTATCCCAGCTACTTGGGAGGCTAAGGCAGGAGAATCGCTTGAACCGGGGAGGCGGAGGCTGCAGTGAGCCAAGATTGGACCATTACACTCCAGCCTGGGCAACAAGACCAAAAACCCATCTCAGAAAAAAAAAAGGTTGCAGAGGCAGAGTCTCCCTGTGTTCCCCAGGCTGGTCTCGAGTTCCTTGCCTTTGCCAGTCTTCCCACCCTGGACTTTCAGAATGTTGGGATTACAGGTGTGGGCCACCATGCCTGGCCCAGGAGTTATTCTTCACACCTCTATCCTCCATTCAATCCACTATCAGGCTATGTCTCTTCTGTTCCTATAATGAACATGTA